GTGTGTGTGTGTGTGTGTGTGTGTGTGTGTGTGTGTGTGTGTGTTGCCAAGGATCACACCCAGGGCTAATGCATGCTTGGCAAGCACTATCCACTGAGTACTACCCCAACCTTTGGCTTATGCGTTTATTTGAGCTTTTGGTGAGGAAGAGGATAAAGTGGATTGCATTCATTCTTTTGCTGCACAGTAGGAAATCATCACAAACTGGGTGCCGTGGTGGGTGATAAACCGACTCTGTCATGAGCCTAGAAGTCACAAGCCTAAAGTTGAAGAGTTATCAGGGCCAGACTTCCCGACAAGGCCCGAAGAGAGATCGTTCTCCTGGCCTGATCCAGGCTTTTGGGGATCCCAGATGGTTGGAAGCACACAGAGGCAGTGTTCACCTCTGCTGCTATCTTCTCATGACCTTTGTTCTCAGAACATGCTGACCGGGACAAAACTGATTTCACCCAAGCCGAAATGCCCCTGCTTTATCTTTATCTAATGTCAGAACGGGGGTGCATCGCTGGAGGCAGGGTCAGTGGCTGTAGCACGCTGTGCACACCCCACTGTGAGCCTCTGTTACAGTTTGCTGAGAACCTGTAAGAAAAAGCAACTAGGATTAGTGTCCAGCTGGATTCGTACGCAACGGTCGCCCGTAGGCCACACATCTCCAGTGATTTTGCCTAGTTGTTCTGAATTAAATCTTCAGAGGCTGTTTCCAAACGATGCCATGTTCTGAGTTTGAGATGGATACCAGCCTGGGTCAAATATACTTCCATTACATGAGAACAAGGCTTGGTTTGGAGGCGTCGGTGGTGTTTGTGTTGAGGAGGGGAGAAACATGGATGTATCTCATGGCCTTGGGAAGGCCAATTCTTTGCTGGGATGGAAGACTGGTGGGCAGAGGGATCCAGTGGGGGGCAGTTGAGGTCTTGCCCAGGGAAGGGGCAGGGCAGCTTGGCCAGAGGCAGCATCATGCCTGCACAGTTCAGTGTAAGCAAGAAGAGATAGGAGAAGACAATGTGTAAATCGGCTTCACATCACTCTAACAAACACCAGAGACCATCAGTTTATAGAGAGGAAAGGTCTATTCTGGCCCATAGTTTTGGAGGATCAATTGGGCTCCGAGATGAGGCAGCAGATCGGGGCAGGAGTGATGTCATAGCCAGGAAGCCAGAGTTCCTTTTGTGGGTAAGCCCCCAGTGACCTGAAGGACTCTCACTAGGGCTCACATCTTAAAAAGATCCACTAATTCCTAAGTGCACCACTCTGTGGACCAAGCCTGCAACACGAGCACTTTGGGGACACTCAAGATCCAAATACTGTCAGAGCATATGGTGAGGGACGTGGACTTTGTCACCTGGCTAGTCAGTTACATGAGCAATTATTTGCTGAAAATTGTAGAGGGAGAGATGATTGAATGGGCTAACAGGAAAACATAGGCTTCAACTATTACCTTGGTGTGTGCAACCCCATGTGTGGTCCTATTTCAAGCAGCAGTGAGGACTCAGGTGAGCCATTAGAAGCTAGCCACTCATTAAAAAAAGATGTTGCAGGGTTAGAGAGATGTTCAATTGGTAAGGAGCTTGCCCTGGAAACATGAATATCTGGACTAAATGCCAAGCACCTATGTAAAATGCCAGGCATGATGCTGCGTGCTTCTAGTGCCAGCCCTGGGGAGGTGGAGACTGGTAGATCTCTGGGTCTCTCTGGCCAGTGGCCTAGTTGAATCAACAAGCATCAGATCCCATTGAGAGTCCCTGTCTCAGAAAACACAGTAGAAAACCTTCTGAATGATACCTGAAGGTGGACCTCTGGCCTTCACATGCATGCACACACGTGCAAACGTACAAAGGACTTTGCTGAGTAATGACACATACAAAATCATGGTGGGCTCTGTGAGGGAACTGCAGGACAGGTTGTCTTCCTTTAAGATTGTTTATTTAGCCGGGCGGTGGTGGCGCACGCCTTTAGTCCCAGCACTTGGGAGGCAGAGCCAGGTGGATCTCTGTGAGTTCGAGGCCAGCCTGGGCTACCAAGTGAGTTCCAGGAAAGGCGCAAAGCTACACAGAGAAACCTTGTCTCGAAAAAACAAAAACAAAACAAAACAAAAGTTTATCTAAAGCTTCTGTAAGGCAAAGGACATGGTAAAGAAGACAAAATGGCAGTCTACAGAATGCGAAAAGATCTTCACCAACTCCACATCTGACAGAGGGCTGATCTCTAAAATATATAAGGAACTCAAGAAATGAGACATAAAAAAAAAAACAAATAATTCAATTAAAAAATGAGGTACTGACCTAAACAGAGAATTCTCAACAGGAATCTCAAATGGCTGAGAAACAAAGAAAAGTTCAACATCCTTAGTCATCAGGGAAATGCAAACCAAAAGGACTCTGAGATTCCATCTTACAACTGTCAGAATGGTTAAGATCAAAAACACAAGTGACGGCTCATGCTGGAGAGGAGGTGGAGCAAGGGGACTAATCCTGCATTGCTGAGGGGAGTGCAAACGTGTGCAGCCACTTTGAAAGTCAATGACAGTTTCTCAGAAAACTGGGAATCAATCTACTTCAAGACTCAATGATACCACTCTTGGGCATATACCCAAAGGATGCTCAACCATACCACAAGGACAAGGACACGAGCTCAGCTATGTTCACAGCAGCTTTATTCCTAATAGCCAGAAATTGGAAACAAACTGCATGTCCCTCAACTGAAGAACTGATAAAGAAAATGGGGTACATATACACAGTGGAGTATTACTCAGCTGTTAAATACAATGACATCACGAAATGTACTGGCAAATG